AATATATATTTTCTGCCAGGTTTTGGTGAATATTTGTGATTTTGAGGAGAAAGGACACGAGAGTTAAGAGGTTGGTTAGGTTGAAATGTAGAGCAGAAAGTTGCATGGTTACTTGTCTCTACTTCCTTTTTGTGTATCTCAAGTTTTCCATGAACCTCATACCGGCTTTTGAGCAAGAGGTTGCCACATGTTGCTCTATTTGTGGTAGAAAGCGTGCTACCCAACGAAAATTTGGGAAACAGTTAGAGCCGATCAAGAGACGAGAATTAACATTAATGTCAACGGGGAAATCATTGGTGATTGTGGTACATGTATGTACTGTAAACAGAATAATATAGTCAATAAATATTTCACTAAATTATCACATTTATGTCAAATGTACTTATTTCTTTGACATCAGTACAACAAAACGGTAATACTCTGTCAGTGGGAGTATAACTGAAGAGAGTACAGCCGCTGGTTAGAATTTTGAGCGTTGCGGGCCAGTTTAGGTTAGGATGTTTAAACCAAATCAAGAATAGGGTTATCAACATAAATTGGCATATTGAATAATGTAATACCAATCATTTATGCATAGTAGTATGAGTTCATTTTTCGTGTCAGAGTTATGTCCATAGAAAGCATTGTGGAAAGCATTGAGGTCATGAGAAGATGAACCATACCGATTATCAGTTCCAGAGTTACCCCACACACACACCCTTCCGACCGAAAACAATGTGAACTCAATAAAGACTATAGATTGTAATGGATTCTTTTCAAATTTAGTGTGGTCATGAGAGGATGAACCTAATCGATATTCAGCGCTCCGAGACGTTCTGCTCTGAAATTACCTCCGGTTTCACAATTACCCCGTTTTCCCGGAAACCTTGTAAATGCGATAGAGGTAATAGATTTTAGCAGATCGTTTTCATTGGCTTGATGAAAAGACGAATACTATCAATATTCGGCATTCTACTACTCTCCGTCATGCTCTATAATGGATTTGTTTCAAAACTGGTAAAGCATGGGGGTCTTGAGAAGACGAACCCTATAAACATCTCACGTTCCGTGGCCTTCTGTTCCCAAGTTACCCCATTTTCCCCGAGAAGCCTATGCAAGCGATAGAGGCAACACTTTTTAACACAATTTGTAAATACGGCAGAGATCAGATTTCTAGAAGGTTTCCTTTATCATCAAATTTGGTCGACATCCAAGTTTTCAATTCCGATAAGCTGCTGTCGAGACATAGCTGCTATGTAGGCGTATTGCTACGCTTTGCGTGGCTATCTTTGATCGTGATGTAGGTTATTAGGTGTGTCTACGCCACGGATTTTTTATTGTCTATTCTAAATAAGATAACTAAGATAGATGTAAAGTAGTAGGACACCTTAAGCTGCGTTCACACCAGGGGTTTAATCTGAATTGAATTCAGAATAAAGTCTTATTCCGGACTTTGGCGTCACACTCAATTCGATAAAAACCGAACTGAATCTGAATTAACGAATCTGTATATTTTTCCTAATTCAACCCGGAACAATTATTCCGAATCGGGTTATTTGCAGTCAAGATTTGAGTGTGACACGCTTGATTCAGATCAACAGTTTTACCGGAAACGATAACTTTGCCCGCATGTTGTGGTGTAGCCTACATAGCTGTAGCCCTTTGTCACTGAAACAAATACTGCGGTAACATAACTAGCTAACGATAGGTTGTCAGGCAACGAAACATGCGCCCTCAGCAGCTAAGTCATCCGAGCAGTCAACAGGGGTTGAGGTATACTTTTCCTTTTGTCAGTAATGCAAACATTTACAACACACTTAATTCTGATTACGAGTTCTGGCCTATACTGTTCAAAATCAATTGGCTTCTTCATCCATGACCTTAAACACTGTGCATAAATATCATGGGCCATAACTCTGGCAGTAATTATCGTAAATCGTTCAAATTCAATTTGCTTCTTCATCCATGACCTTAAACACTGTGCAAAAATTTAAAGGCAATCAGATATTAACATTAGCCTCTACCGCGTCGGTCGGGGGCGACGACAATATACGACCACATTTCAATGTGGGCATATAAAAATCCAAATGCAAAGATAGGTGTGTTCAGATCACAGCTGAGCATTCACGGTCTAGACCTTGGGGGCAGGACAGGTAAGCTTTTGTCGTCTGGAGTTTGGTTGATTGAATCTAGTCTCTAGCATGTATTGCATACAGCTGGATAATAAAAATGACAACAAAATGTAATGCTTTACATTATGTATGTTTAGTGCTGAAAGGATTTGAATTATGAAATGGGAGTCACGATGGTTCAGTGAGTAAGAAGCTGGCTCCCTAGTTTGGTGGTCGAGGATTCGCTCCCGGTGTTGACCGAAAACGTTCCTCGTGGTTTCCCCATGCCATTGTTGCAGGGCGGAGGGACCGACAAGGACAGCTGTCTAGTCTTTCGGATGGGACGAAAGAGAGAGTTAATTCGATAAAAGCGTAGGCCGTAGCGCCGCTGTCCTGGGAAAATGGCCTATGCCCCTCTTTATAAGCCCAGTCAGATCAGAACAGCAGGAAGTTTAACCCCATTTCATAACATTTCAATTATGAAATGTATCTTCGCTAGTACAGAGTCAAGAGTGAAGTACATGTACATACGTGCTGATGTATAGCAAACTCTACCAAAAGAGTAATGATCCTCACTCGCATATGATTTTGGTGCCATGGCAAGGTGTGGAAGATGTAAGACCCGGCGTCGCTGATGTAGCCGTGCTTGTACTAGGAAATTAAACATAAGCAACATAAGATCACCAATACGAATGTCTGGCGCATCCATCTTGGATACGAATGCCCTTCACTGCGCATTCAGTGTGGCGGTTTTCATTCTGAATTCAATCCGAATAATCTGTAATGTGATGCATCGCTTTTAAACCGGGAAAAACCAAACCGAATTCCGGAGGCCGATCTCCGAAATTCTAATTCAATGCGCATGTAGTGTGAACGCAGCTATTGTAAAGTAGGTGGGAAATAGATCACCTGAATGATTCAAGAAAGGATACTTAAAGAGCGTTTGGCTCTATTTTTGTAACCATAAATGGATCTAAAAGCACATATTAATGTAATATGAGTTTGTATAAAGTGATTTATATTCAATTTATTTTTTAAAAAAATGTAATTTCTAATAAATTACGTTCGGTGAAATACGCTAACAGTCCAAACTGAACGAAAATCGTTTATACCTAATAAGCTCATTCTTCACGGCTTTTTTTTTTATTATTACTATATCATTGTGAATCAGTCATTATTATTTACTGCCGCATTATAATTATGATTTTCTTTGTTCATTGGTTTTGCGGAAATGGTTAGAGTCTTAGCTCCTTTAATAAAATTCAAACCCTCATAAAATTCAAACTGTTATACAGCTTGTTGTCATTTTGTAAAAACACCCGGGTCTATATTCTGTTTTTATTATAATACATGGTAATATTTCCAACAACCGTTTGTTTTTCATATTTAGATTAGTAATAATTTCTTTGGCAGAAGGTTCACAATTTAAATAAATTGCCATAATCTCCCTAGAACTATTGCAATAAACAACAATTTCCTAAATTACATCCTCCATTTGATATTTTAAATCCGATCACCAATTGTTTTAGACATCAGCATTATGTTCGGCGTTATAAATTGATGCAGAAATAAAATTTCTAACTTTCTTAATCATATGAATGTGTATTAATAAGAATTCGTTTTGAGGCCCCTGTGGATATTAAACTCTTGAATACAAAATTGATTTTCTGTCTGCTATTTTCAGTTCTGTTTACTAGTATATGAAATGGAAAATATGATTGACAATTTTAGGAATATCAAGTTTCTTACAGCGAAGGATTAATTTATCTAATTAATTCATGAATAAAATGGGGTTTAACGTCCAATTTTTCTGCATAGAGATCTGCCATTTTTTTAATTTTTTTTTTGTATAAGAATACCGGCCAAGAACGACCATGGTCCTGTCTATCTAGGGCTTCACTATATACCGGAAAACATCGAAAAACACAGGAAAACACCTGGAAAACACCATGTTATACCGAATACCGGAAAACACCGGAAAAAAATAACCCAAACCCAGGCACACAGAGGACCAGGTTCCGGGTTATCTATTGAAGGTGCCAGTCTCCGGGTTACCTATTTGGGGTATTTTCCGGTATTTAGTGTTTTTCCAGTATTTAGTGTTTTTTCTGGTGTTTTCCGGTATTCAGTATAAAATGGTGTTTTCCGGTGTTTTCTAGGTGTTTTCCGGTGTTTTCCGGTATAGAGTGTTGCCGTCTATCTATATCTATTAATTGATATAATATGTAGTGAACATGACAGAGTGCAAGAGTGTTTACTAAGTCAGGTGTTCTTAACAAATTATAGCATTAAAACGTTGGAAGATTGGTCTTTATCCTTAGGAGAAAATATATTATTAAAGTAGCTAAGTCTCTAACTCAATATCATCCAAAGTCTTCCGACATTGAAAATACGAATTATATGTCAATTTAAATCAACATTGATGTTGTGATCTTACCGGGAAAAGATGGGCTTCTGCTATCCAATATTTAAAGACAAAATAAACACGAATTTTGTACCATAATGCATTTCAGCGCCATTCGTAACAAGCTACTCGAAGAACGAGGCTAGACATATTCCACAAGTCATGTCAAACGGTGACGTCATATTCTTATCTGGAGAGCATGCGCAATAAATACTATCGGTGTAGACTGGAATAACCAGAGGCTACAGATTGCCTTTCGATTGAGACTTATGGCGTATTTTCGCCGAACATAACTGATTTGAAATTAAAGTAAAAACGGATACGATTGAATGTAAATCAGTTTATATACATTCATATTATATTATTATATGCGTTGCGACCCATTTGCGTCAATTTCTAGGTGCCAAATATTAGCGATTTAGCTCTTTTAATAATTACTTGTTTTTAAAATGCACTGAAATGTCATGGCATTTATCTTGTACTGATTTTATTAAATTATTTTTCAGATATCAACGGCAGTGAGGGCAAGGAATATTTAGAAAATGTGTAAGTGTTCTGTTTAAGTGGACCCAATACGTAGATCTATACATCATACATGTCAGCTATGATCTATGATTCATATAATAGAATTGAAGACCTCCTAATGATCTTATATAAATTAGCAATCGGAGACAGCAGACATCATTGACTGTAATATAGCGATGTAGTCAATGTAGTTAATTAAGAAGTCCAAGTTTCATGTGTACTCAAACACTACGGCTAGCTTAGAAATAAAGCAATATTGATCCAAATGTAATTCTCACTGTGTCTGACTTCTAGTGAATCGACACAAATTTCCATAAACAAGCGTTATCATTCCGCATGCCATTCATTATTGTATTTAAAATGAGTGAACTTTGTGAATTAAAAGATACCGCACTTGCTAAAGTTGGAGGCATTGGCCCAGGTCACGTGGTTGATGCCGCTGACAACCCGGATGAAAACAGTGAACACTCATCAAGAGGGTCCGATGGCTCTGTTGATTCTCACGGCAACAAAAAGCCCCGTGCTATGCTAAGGCGCGGAGGGATTTTTCCAGGTGCGAAATGGCGACGACTACGGAACACATTACGGGCAGCACAAGAAATGCAAGCTCCGCGTAGAAAACCCGGTTTACAGAGAGAAGACTCTTTTTTAAAGAAATTTTCTACTCGACGAAATTCGAGAAATAATGAAAATTCGGACAATGAGGAGGATCAACAACACTTCCCCATGCACTGGCGTTCGCTGCATCACGGACATACGTTTGTGGTGCAGCACCATGGGAGTTTTATGTTCTGGTGGTTAGGAGTGGTGACTATTGCTGTTTTATATAACCTGTGGACATGTATTGCAAGGGAAGCTTTCCGGGAAATTCAGGATAGCTGCCCAGCGGCATGGTTTAGTTTGGATGCATTAAGTGATGTGATTTATATTTTGGATATATTAGTGCAATTTCGAACGGGATATTTGGATCAAGGATTAATGGTGTACGATAGCAAAAAGTTGGCCAGAAAGTATGTGAATTCCAAATATCTCTATGTAGACATAATTTGCCTACTTCCACTGGATTTTTTTCAGTTTTTAGTTGGCATTCATCCGATGTTACGTTTCATGAGATTTCTTAAAGTGTATAGATCTTTTAACTTCTTACACATGTTAGAATCGAGGAATGCCTATCCAAATCTTATACGTGTTGCAAATCTCAGCCACATTCTTTTTTTGGGAGCACATTGGTTTGCTGCTTTTTATTACTTGATATCTGAAGCAGAAGGCTTCCGAGGAGGGTGGTCGTATCCACAGCCCGTGGGTGAATATGCTTCTGTCACAAGGAAATATTTAGCATCTTTATTTTGGTCAACCTTGACCTTAACAACTATTGGTGACTTACCACCCCCGGAAAGTAATTGGGAGTAAGTATATATTAATTATATCTTTATAAAAATTACTATCCATGTTGGTAAATAGTACCAAATATCAGTAATAGGTATTGATTTTAAATGACAAACAACATTAAAGAAGTATTGGTTCCTTGGGTTTGTTTGTCGTTTCGTACAAATATTTTTCGATTTCGGATGATCAAATACGATTGTATGCAAATTTATGACGGATCAACCTATCCATCACTTACGTCTAGACATTCCGAGATTCATTCGCCTAAAGCCTACCATAGTTTTTGAAAAGTTAATTTTAACAAGTTACCATAATTGGGATGCGGGATATTATTTATTATACATCTTACAATATGTACACTGCTATGTGGTTGTTTATTACCAATAACACCTAGACTGTCCTTCCCTGTACCTTCCATATCCCAGGTACGTGGAGTTGATGACTAAGTACTTTTGTTTTCATCAGTAAAATGAATACATATTTAAGTTGTTTATAGAGCAACGCCTATCTTGTACTATTAAATATTTAATTTCTAGTTAATAGTTTACACAAGTATATATACACCGTTCTAGTAACAATAGATACACATCTGTGCAATTAATAATAATGCCACTTAAAGAAATAATAATATTGTGAATGAATACCTTTTATATTAGGTCTATTTTTATACGCCCACATGGAAATGTGATCGTATCCTGTCGTCGCCCCGTCCATACGTACGTATATACGTCTGTCCGTCGTCTACACTCTACAGACTACATTTATCATCTGTTTTGAAATTGATATTATGTTGTTTTCCTCAGTGAGGTGAAGAACCTATTTAATTTCAGTAATTTCCATTAAGTTCTTCTGGAGTTATGGCCCTTGTTGAACCTTGTGAACACTCGAATGATGAAAGTTATCATCCGATCTGTATGAAATTTATATGCACTATTTAAATTAGTGGATCGAAGAATCCTATTGAATTTCAGCAATGTCCGTCTGTTACTTCTAAATTTATGGCCCTTGTTTTACTTTGTTGAATTTGTGAACATTCGAATGACAAAAGTTATAATCCGATATGTAGTAAATTTATATGCATTATTTGAGTTAGTAAAACGAAAAAGCCCGTCGCTGCTGTGGGCGTATGTTTCGTTGCCCGGCAACCTATATTATTTCCTTTTAACATTTGGTCCTGGCTATTTATTTATTAGATTTTCATTTTCAAATTTCATAAAATACAACAAGTAAACTTCTTACAAAAGAATGTCAAAACTTGAAAGCTAGATATGGGGTAAACAATATGTATATCTGTGTGTGTGGCTGTGTGGTGGCCAGTGAGTGAAGCGGATGGTGTGGGTGTGTATGCGTGTGTGTGTATATGCTGTAATGTTTGTAGAGGTAATTTTGTTTCATTTCATATCTATATAACGTCCCTGTAGCAGCCCAATTGTATTAACCGAAACTATACTATTCAAAAAAAGTAGGGGATATTTGATTTTTAAGTGTTATTAAAGTCACCTAATGAAACTGACGAAGAAACAAATGACAAAATAAAATGAAGTTCACATTCATCGATTTATTCCAAATGATCGTTAGACTAAGTAAGGCACAGACTGACCATTATAAGGGTAAAATGATACCCGGGGTCAAACAGCAAAGTTACCACAGCATCACAACCAAGTCAGTAACGGGTAAATCCTCCTCTGTTTGCCAAACAAGCATTGATCCGACGTGGCATACTCCTAATGAGACGTCTAAGGTCATTTTGGTCCAGATTGTCCCATTCCTGTTGCAACGCAGCAGCAAGTTCTTGGACATTGGCAGGACGTTGTTGACGTTGACGTAACCTCTGTCCAAGCATGTCCCAGACATGCTCGATGGGGGAGAGGTCGGGACTCAGTGCTGGCCAAGGTAATGTGGTGATGTTCTGTTGTTGGAGGTAACCTGTAACGATCCTGGCCCTGTGACATCTTGCGTTGTCATCCTGGAAGATGAAACGGCGGCCATGACGTCGTGCGAACGGCACAACATGGACTGCCAAGATGTTGTCCCGGTAGTACTGGCCTGTAACACGCCCTGCAACAACACGTAAAGCCGTTCTTCCAGCAACAGTGATGCCTCCCCACACCATAACAGAACCACCCCCAAATCGATCATGTCTGATGACGTTAACGTCTTGGAAGCGCTCGTTTCGACGACGCCACACCCTCCTACGTCTGTCCAAAAAATCAACAGTGAACCTTGACTCATCTGAAAACATCACATTGCTCCAGCGTCGATTATCCCAGTGTTGGCGATCCCTACACCAACGACGTCTTGCCTGAATGTGATGATCTCTCAAACAAGGGATCACGCGAGGACGTCGGGCGCGAAGGTGACCCCTATGCAGTCGATTCCGAATCGTCTGGCCACTCACTCTCACACCAGTGTCTGTTTGAAGACGAGCGCTGATCTGATTTGCTGTGATGACACGATTTCTCAAGGCCAAGGTACGGATAAATCGATCCTGGGCTTGAGTTGTCGCCCTTGGTCGACCTGAGCGTGGTCTGTCCTGTACAGATTGTGTATCACGGTATCTGGACCATAGCCTGAATATGACAGATTGAGAAACATTCATCGTCCGCGCCACAACCGCCTGTGTTGTGCCGATCTGTAGCATGCCAAGGGCACGTAACCTTTCATTTTGGGTAAGCCGACGCATATCAAAATTTGTTTTCTGGTCACTAAAACAATTAAACTGATGTTTCCACCCTGGAATTCAATGCCACAATGACTGTAACATTCAAAGTCAGAGTCGTGCAAATCTTGGGTTGGACCCCCATGATGATCCCAAGCATCACCTGCATTCCATGCGGTAGCTATTGGTGCGTTTGGGCGTCACATGTAACTGGAAATGTTTCTTCTGTTAGGTTCTATAGTGACTTTTTTCGTAGTCATTTGCATATTTTAGTATTATGCCCCCAAAATCAAATATCCCCTACTTTTTTTGAATAGTATATATAAAATAACAACATTACATACTACACCCCCTAAAAAAAGGTTAAAAGTGAACCAATTTGAGGGTACTGATTTTTTATATGGTTGATGCCTTCGTAAGCAATATTAGAAGACTATATTAGATTTTTAACAATCTTTACAAGCAATATACAAATTCTTAAGCTAGTAATATTCATTCAGTAACTCGCCTCATTGACCTATTAAGGACTATTATATTCATATCTTGTACAGATGTATACACGCCTCATACTAATTTATTATCTATTCACTGAATTTAAATAGACAATAAACCAGAATAGAAGCTATAGACATGTAGTTAAATTAAGTCTGTTAACTACGAAAACGTCAAGAACTATTCAAATTGATCAAACCTAGCGTAAGTAAGGTCGTTAAAATGTTTTATTAGTGTCGTGTTTTCCACGACTCACACTATATACGTTTTATTATTGTTTAAAGTATCTTTGATCTCCACCCGTTAACGTCAAAGCCATTAAAACAAACATCGTCTTTTCAGCATATTGTGCATATTGTGTGTAGTTAATTATAATAATTGAAATATGTATTGTCTTGCCCCATTGTAATGTCTTTCAATTTAAAGTTGGTGTATCCTCCTTCTTTAAAGATATTCAGTCGTAAAATTGTTTCAAGGTCACTGTTAGGTTCGTTGATATTCTTTTGACGAGTCATATTCTGAGCTATATCCTAAGTATTATTTAGGCCAGGATTAACCGTGCCTAAAGAATCTTCGGTAAAATTCCCTCAAGTCTACGAAATTGTGATTGGTACATGATCAACATATTTAGAGATGCCTTCCCATGTACAAACTATGAAATTTGGTGATATATTTCGACAAAAACATATTCACACTAATTTATCTATCAAATGTTTGCTTCAAATCACTCTTTAATTGAAAAAAACCTACCTCATGACGTAGAAATGTACTTTAAGCAGTCTTGTTAGTAATGTAACTTGATATGGGGAGGGTGTGTGGGGGGAGGGGGTGGGCATTTACTGTTTATATTTGTCGTTACCATACATATCGAAGCCTAAATAAATTCTTGGATTATCTTCTGTCAACCTTTTTTTCCGCTGTTTATTCACCGGGTATTTGGTACGTGTAAAGCCACACTATTCCCACGATAGCTAACCATTCGATCAAGAAATAGCAAGGGCTCCCAAGTCAAGCTGGCAGATAATAAGCCGTCGGGTTGCCAGTTAGTGATACCCTGACAATTTTGCCCAGTGCTTGCCCCACGGGTGGTTTTCAGGGAATTCGGTATTTTTCTAGTAAGACTGGGCGTCTCTACCTTCCATATATACCAAATGTGCCATACTTTTATTGGAAATAACCACCCAATAAATATTTTCGTGATAATGTATCTTTAAGCCACAAGGCGAATATTACCTGCGGCTGCGGGTTTCCTTTGCTATATCTATATTACAAATTGACCCAATAATTACAATTTTAAGTCTTTCATTTTTTGCCTTAAGAAGAAATTCCCATAACACGCATAAGACAAGAATAAAACAAGTTTTTATATTTCATTACCGTGGTTAAAATGTTTGACAAAGACTTGGGATGTTTTCTTAAAGACGAGTTTAATACCAAGTGCTGGAAAACTGTACTAGGATTGTGATATATATAGAGAGAAATGGGGTTTAACGTCCACTCGACACAAACTAGGTCATTTCGGGACTAACATGGTTTAATTTTATTTACATAATTCGCTTGCGCGTAGGGGTCTTTAGCAGTGGGAGGAAACCGGAGGACCCGGAGAAAACCCTCGAGGTTGGACAGGCGACTCTACTCCTTGCCACGTACAACCGGGGATTCGAAACCACGCCAGTCGACTCAATGACAGACTTTATGATACAGCGCGCGCGCTAACCATTCAGCCATCCAACAACCCGTGATTCTATATAACCACATCGTGTAAGAACCACCTGTAGTGTGAACAGACAGCTATTTAATCAAGCGAATGAATGCCAAGACCAACCTTGAGAGTCAGAGAGAGAGAGAGAGAGAGAGAGAGAGAGAAAA